GGTCTAGGAAGCGACAGAGGAAACAGAGCACGGGAGGGGGGGAGGGGGGATGAAATGTGCAGTCCTGATGAGTCTTTATCCTGGTTTCCCCTCTTCCAGGAAAGCCCAGGAGCATAAGAGGGAGTTCACAGAGAGCCAACTGCAGGAGGGAAAACATGTCATTGGCCTACAGATGGGCAGCAACAGGGGGGCCTCCCAGGCCGGCATGACAGGCTACGGACGACCTCGGCAGATCATCAGTTAGAGGGAGAGGGCCAGCCCCCAGCCCTGTCCTTCCCCGGCTCGTCGGCTGCAGCCATCCTGCCTAGCCCGCCTCACCCGCACCCGTGTAGTTCCTCAGCCCCGGCCAAGCTTCGAGGCTCCGTCACTGAGCAAAGGTGACCGCACTTGGGCAGCTCTCCCCCACCCCTCAGCCTCAGCCCAATTTCTTATCCCCAAGCACCACTCCCCTGACCCTCCTCCCAGCTCCCCCGCCGTCTCCCACCGTCTCACCCCATCCTGGGCCGGGCAGGGGGGACGTGGGCTGGGGGTAGCCTGGGCGGGGGGCAAGTCCACTAGCCTCCTTGGCAACAGACGCCTATTGAAGGTAATCCTGCCCAACCTCCCTCCATTTATTTTTTTTCTGGAATATTTTGGGGGTTGAAATTCAGAAAGGAAACAAATATATACATCAATCTTTTCTCAGGCCTGGCTGGCAGAGTTTGATTTGCCCTGGTCACTTCTGATTCTAGGAAACATGAGCAGGGAAGAGGCAGGCAACATTTATGTGGGTTCCTGAAGGCCAGCTCCGAAGGACCTCTCAAATTCTAGGACCTCAAGGGGGGCCAGTTTCCTTCAGAGGGCCACGCGGAGGAGCAGAGTGGATCTCGGGGACCGGGAACCAAAGGCCAAGGAGAGCAACCTGGCAACTTGCATTAGCTCTGGGAGGCAGATGAAAGGAGCTGGGGAGGGCAGAGTTGCGTGGAAGGTTTTTATTTTGGAAAAGCTGTGCAGAAAAACATTCAACCAAATGTTGCTGTGAAAAGACAAACCCAAATCTTAAGCGTTAAAAAAAATTTAGATCAACCAAACTAGCTCAGAAGAGGGGAGGAGGCCAGTAATGGTGGGAGGACTCACAGCCTGTCAGGCAGACGGCGGGCCTCCAGCGGGTAAGGCCATTTCCCTGAGCACTTTGCAGAGGAAGACAGGGCGGTCGCAGGGCTGGAGTGGCAGTGGCCGAGCCCCGTCATAGTCCTGCTGCAGACTACCGTAGTGAGGCAGCGCGGGCCATGGGGAGCCGTGCCAGGAGCATCGTACCGATCCCTCAGGACGGAGGGTGGGGGGGGGTGGTGAAGGAGTCAGGGGTATGTTCAAGGTTGGCTTCTGATCAGGGCTAATGGAGGCAGCTGCTTTCAGGGCGAGTGTGGCTGGGCTGAGGGCTGACTGCCATACCTGTATGTCCTAAGTTCCAGGCGTAGGCAGGAAGGTGAGGAAGGGAGAGGAGGGGACTGTGGTTTCTAGGTCCTGGGTCATCAAAAGGACAGGCATATATGCAGGGGCTCTTCCCAGCCTTCACCCTGAGCCCTCTTCCTAAGTGACCCCAGTGATGTTTCCACTGAGAGGCTCTTCTGGCCTGGTGGGCACCGCCCTACCACATGGGTGAGGGTCCCTGTGACCCACATCACCGGCCTGCCCAGGAGAAATGAGGAAGCAGGCCTGACAAATGGGAGGGGCCGAGCCTTTGTCCAAGACCTTCTCACCAAAAGCTTTCAGGAGGAGGAAGATCTGGAGGCTATGGCCACAATGTCCTCTGGCACCATTCCTCTGTCACTGCACCTTGAGAAGTCCCTCGCCCTCCCTGAATGTAGTCACAGGGAGCTCTTGAGGCCTGTGGATTCCCCATGTTAGCATCAGGGCCGCCTTCTCCCCAGAGTTCCTGGGACTTCGGAGCAGCTTTCCCAGCTTCCCTGGCTCGGGGAAGGAAGAGCCTGGCCCATGTTGAGTCTGCTGGGCCCTGGGTCAGCAAATCTGCTCCTCTTTCCCCTGCAACAGGTCTGGGGGTAGCTGATGATGAGGGTGGTCCAGGGCCCTCCTGTCCTGGGACAGGCCCCAGTCCCCTTGATCCAACAGGTCCGGGACAAGGGGACCAGAGGTGGTGGCAGGGCGCTCACTTTCTGTCTCCACTCCATCTGGATCTTTGCTGTTGCAGAGTGGCACTGATTCCAGTTCTGTCCCCTCCTCCCTGGCTTTTTGGCTTCGTTGGGGCCAGTGGCAGGGTCCGCTCCTACAAACGCGGTGGGAGGCCACATTCCTCTGGCTCAGGTATATTTCCAGCATGTAGTAAACGGTCCAGAAGATGGTAAAACTGCCTACCAGCACCAGAGTCTGGGAAAGGTCAAGCACCTGAGTTACGGATGGTTTCCCAAAGCCCTGTGGCTTTCCTCAGCCCAGAACGATGAGCTCAGAAAGTCTCTCACCTCCCAGGGACTGCTGCCCCACCTCAAAGCACTTGACCCCACTGAACAGTGCCCTCTTCGAGCTGGCTAGTAGAGTGGGGACCCAGGTCTTCCCCACCCCTCACTTCTCAGGTCACTTGGAGCACCCCAGCAAGGACCGACCGCCCCCCCCCCC